ACCGCAGTCATTTTTGTTAGTGGTTGTGACGTCACCGATGCTAACACGTTAGTTTGGTAGGACTCAAACATTCAACCAAACCCAAGAGGTTGTTTGCGTGTTTGCGTGAGGAAGGAAAATCTCACTTTAAAGTTTGGCTGGTTTGGCAAATGCAGTGATGGAAAACATAACCCTGAACCTTGATCAGCATATCCTGTGTCTGGACGATGCTGGCAATATCAAGATTTCAGAAGATCCAGAAAACCCAGGGCTTTTGATAAACTAAGTAATTATTAAAACACCATTTAATTAATAGTTTAATATTTTAAGGTTATAATCTAATGAACTATATATATTTCAGGCAATTCTGTTTTTGTCGTCCCAGACAATAGAAAAATACCCCAATTTCTGCCGCATATGCGCTTTATAGAGGAATCTTCTGATCAACTTATCAAACCACAAGTGTGCTCTGCTGATCAAGTCGACAATGTCACTGCACATGAAGAAATATGGGTGAAAAACTCAGGTAAATCTTCGGCCTGTGATACAGAGGCAGCTAATGATCTTATTACATTGGTGGGAAATGATCGTTTTAAGTCCTTATTGAAAGATAAAACCAGCATAAAGAAGAATGTTTGGGGACAAATTGCAAAAGAAATGATGACTCTGGGCTCTGATGATAATTTTGGTAATCGAGATCCTGGTACAGTTTGCTCTCAAAAGTGGAGGAACATGCAAGGAAAAACTATAACATTCATTCAGAATGGAGGGCCCAAGAGCACTGGATCAGGGAAGCTGAAGAAGCCTGCATTTTACGATGAAGTGAGAGATGTCATTAAGGATTCTGCTAAGGCGATCCCAGTTAATTGTATGGACACAATGTCAAATTTGTCTGATCAGGCCTCACCATCATCAAGAGCAAGTAGTTCTTCAGGAAATAATGACAGTGCATATCCTCAAAAATCCTGCCAAAGCAGCGTTAGGAATTCTGAAGAGCCTCTGTCTGATAACGAAGCAAAATTAGCCTTCAACAAGGAAAATGTGAACCCTTTTCTGAAAGTGCAAAGAACAACTAAGGCCAAGAAACAAAAAGTTGAGAGCAGTGCCATATTAAATTTTTTAAAACAGGATGCAGGAAAAAGAAAAGTGCAGAATGAAAATCTTATGAAGCTTCTTGCTCAAAAAATGGAACAAGGAAAAGAATCAAAAAGACAAATGTTGGAAATCCTTTCTAAACTGCTTGATAAGTAATGGAAATGACTTCTAAATCCATTGTCTTAAAGTATTTAATATATTAATATATTGAACACTTGAAGACAATGGATCTAGAAGTCATTACCATTATAGAATTCTATATTTATATT